TTCGCCATTTCCAGAACTCAATTTTCAAAATCCCATCGGATCCGATAAGATAAAAACTTATATCAACGATGGCCTTCAATCGCGACATAGTGGTATGTATTTTTGACTATTTCCAGAATTCAATTTTCAAAATCTCATTGGATCTGATCGGACAAAAATTTATATCAACAATGAGCTCCAAGCGAGATATGTAGAGACACACTTTTGACAATTTCTAGAACTCAATTTTCAAAATCCGATCGGATCCTATAGGATTGAAACATAAATCAATGGTAAACTACAACGGCGACATGTAGGTTTCCATTTTTCGCCATTTCCACAAATGAATTTTCAAAATCCGGTCGGATCCTATAGGATAGAAAGTTATATCAATGATAAGTTTCAATGCAGATATGTAGGTATGAATTTTGGGCCATTTCCAGAAGTGAATTTTTAAAATCCGATCCGATTCTATAGGATAGAAACTTATATCAATGGTAAGCTCTAATGGAGATATATAAGTATGCCATTTTCGGCATTTTCAGCACTTAATTTTCAAAATCCGATCGGATCCTATAGGATAGAAACTTATATCAATGCTAACCTTGAATAGAAGTATGTAGGTATGCCTTTTTGGCCTTTTCCAGAAGTCAATTTTCAGAATCCGATCGGATCCTATAGGATAGAAACTTATATCAATGCTAACCTTGAAGAGAAGTATGTAGGTGTGGCTTTTGGACCATTTCCAGAATTCACTTTTCAAAATCCGGTCGGATCCTACAGGATAGAAACTAATATGAATGGTAAGCTGAAATACAGATATATAGGTATGCCTTTTTGGCTTTTCCAGAAGTCAATTTTCAGAATCCGGTCGGATCCTATAGGATAGAAGCTTACATTAATGCTAAGCTTCAATTGAAATATATAGGTACGCCTTTTCGGCCATTTCCAAAACTGAATTTTCAAAATCCGATCGGATCCTATAAGATACATACTTATATGAATGCTTAGCTTTAATAGTTATATGTAGGTATGCCTTTTGACCACTTCCAGATTTAATTTTCAAAATCCGAGCGGATCCTATAGGACACAAGCTTATACGAATGGTAAGCTCCAATGGAAATATATGGGTATGCCTTTTTCATCACTTCCAGGATTCAATTTTCAAAATCCGATCGGATCCTATAGGATAGAAGCTTACATCAATGCTTAGCTTTAATAGTTATATTAGGTATGCCTTTTGACCACTTCCAGACTTAATTTTCCAAATCCTATTGGATCCTATAGGATAGAAGCTTATATCAATGGTAAGCTCCAATAGAGATATGTGGATATGCCTTTTTCATCACTTCCAGGACTCAATTTTCAAAATCCGATAGGATCCTATAGGATAGATACTTGTATGAATGCTTAGCTTTAATAGTTATAGGTAGGTATGGCTTTTTGATCACTTCGAGAACTTAATTTTCAAAATCTGATCGGATCCTATAGGGTAGAAACTTATATTAATGCTAAGCTCCAATTGAAATATATAGGTACGCCTTTTTGGCCATTTCCAGATCTGAATTTTCAAAGTCCGATCGGATCCTATAGGGTAGAAACCTATATCAAAGATAAAGTCCAATGGTGATATGGAAGTTTGGATTTTTCGGCATTTCGAAAACTCAATTTTCAAAATCCGATCGGATTCTATAGGATAGAAGCTTATAGCAGTGCTAAGCTCGAATGGAGATACGTAGATGTACATTTTTGCCATTTCCAGAACTCAGTTTTCAAAATCCCCATCGGATCCAAATGGTAGAAACTTATATTAATGATAAGCTCCAAGCGAGATATGAAGGTAGGCATATTTGCTCATTTCCAGAACTGAATTTTCAAAATCCGATGTGATCCAATAGGATAGTAACTTATATCAGTGCTAAGCTCGAATGGAGATATCTAGGTATACATTTGTTGCCATTTCGAGAAATGAAATAATTTAACTGAATTCAATATGATATTCAGACCTTTTTAAACAGTTTCGAAACTAAAAATTTTCTGTTTTATGAATTTATGAATATACTGAAAAGATTCTACGTTTGAAACGATTTTTGTCACAACGGATAACGACATGTTGTTTTAGTGTATATTTTGGTCAATTGGGCAGAAACATAGAATCGAACTTACTACTTCTGTACTTCAGCACTTCTTTTAGTTCGTACTTCATAGAAACCTGTGTGCTCATGTTGAAAACAGACAGTTTGTTGTTATCAGGTCAACAAGCTTTCTCGCGGATAGCCGCATTTTATAAGTTCCTTGATCAAGGCATTATATACTAGAAAAAATAACTATTCTGCTGCACCTTAATCCAAAACCTATATTAAACACACTACGTTTCAGTGGCTATAAATCATGAAACTTTCCGGCTCACATAAGGTAAAATTTAGATTCCAAACATTATCATAATAAATAAAATCGACCACAGATTCAAAGATTGATGGAATCCTATAGAAATCCGATCGGTATCCGACCGTCGGAATAAATGGGGATTTCAACAATCGGAAGTTATCGGAAGCGTATGAGTATGCGATTGTCGGATCCGATCGAAATTCTGCAAGCCGGATTCCGATCGGATTTTTGTCGGATTTTTTGGACCTCGGTTGAAAGATTGATATAATCCTATAGAAATCCGATCGGTAGCCGACCGTCGGAATAAATGGGGATTTCGACAATCGGAAATTATCGGAAACGTATGAGTATCCGATTGTCGGATCCGATCGGAATTCTGTAACCCGGATTCCGATCGGATTTTTGTCGGTTTTCGGGTCCGATCGGATCCGATAGGATCCGTCGTCGGATTTTTGGACCTGGGTATAGCAAAGCTTTTGAAGATCAACTCGATTTTTTTCCATAAGTTCTTATATGGACAGAATAGTCTTATTGTACATATGCTGAAAGCCCAGGATAGTGAGTGCTAACACAAATTCAACGAAACAAAAACAACTGAACTGTGCGAATAGGACGATTTAGTTTATGTTTCTGTGTTTTTTTGCTCCTCTTACTTTTAGTTAGTTGTTATTTACAGGTATTATCAGAAGATAAAGTGAATATTGCCACCTATCAAGCTGAGTACAGGTTCATAAACGTTTCATCGAAAACAACAAGATATCACTATGAATTTCTGTTTCATGCAAGAAAGTGTTAGATGAGGAGTGTGGGTGTGGGTGTGGGTGTGGGTGGGTGTAGGTGTGGGGTGTGGGTGTTGGTGTCGGTGTGAATGCGGGTGTGGGTATGTGGGTGTTGGGTGTGAGTGTAGGTGTGGGTGTTGGTGTCGTGTGAGTGTGGGTATGGGTGGGGGTTTGGGTATAGGTATGAGTATGCTAATTTATTACACCCACGCCCAACCCCACACCCACACCCCACACCCACACCCCACCCACGCCCACACCCACACCCCACACCAACCCTTTATTCTGTTGTTGTTTAATTTTCGATTTGATCGATTGCTGAAAAGCAAGAATTGAGACTACCAAATTGAACTTGTCGTTTGGTTAAGAGATAGGTCAGTCTATTTTTCAATTGATTTAAATATTGTACTTATTTCTGCGGTGCCAATAGAACACATCCTTCCGTGAATTATGGTCTGTAATCTCAAGAAATTGATTTCTCTGCTTTTCTGCTTTAGTTATAGGACAGCGATATTTTTATTATAATTTATAATTCAAATAAAATTCTTTTTCTGGCTGACTGGCGTA